AATTAACACATAATATTTATATCATAATTTCAGTGTCTCTCAGGAAAGTTTTAGTAACTTTTTCCTATATAAAATTTGTTTCAACAGTTAGGCTATGTCTACACTGCAGCCTTTTGTCGGCAGAGACAATGCAAATTAAGTGCTCATTAGCATTTGTCATGCTGTCATTTGCATATCTTTGCCATGCTTTGTGCGGAAGAGGTTTTTGCGCAAAAACAAGCAGTGTAGACGGGGCCATTCTGCACAAAGCCTCCCTTTTGTGCAAGATCCTGTATACCTTCTTTTTTGAGGCATAAGAGCAAAAAACATTGGCAAAGATATGCAAACAACAGCACAGCACATGCTAGCGAGCACTTCATTTGCATTGTCTCTGCCAACAAACGGCTGCAGCGTAGACGTAGCCTTAGATAGTTCATGCAATCAATCTGGTTCATACCAATCTATAAATTAGAGATATGGGTGATCCCGATAAAATATAAAACTTCACAGCCCTCATAACTTGTTCTTGTGGCTTTAAAACAACAGTATAACCACAAGAACAAACCATACCATGATTATTTTAAGGAACACTGCCAGTATAAAAATTATAGATGTTAAAAATATTTTAAGTAAATGAATGTTTATTAACTTTATCAAAAGCAAAAAAATTAAAAATATATATTTTGCAAGTATATCCAATGAAGAAAGCCATGTATTCTGCCTTTCAGGTCAGAATTAATGTGATGGTAGCTAACTAACAGAGAAAAGAAAACTGAGGAAAATAAGGGTGCCAAGTAACAGAGAATGATATCTCTGTTTCAACAAGAAAGAGATTTAAGGGGCTGTTTAACTAAGAACAACTGCTTTAATTGTAATTTCAGAAAAAAATAAAGCATTAGGTTTTTTAAATGTTTCTTCTGGTAACTTTTAAAATTTGAACTTAATTTAACTGAACAGTACACCTTATAAATAGTATATTTAAAGGCAGGTTTCATTTTGAAGTTTTAATGAAACATAGGGCCCAATCCTTCAAGATAGTGAGCTCTTGGAGAGGTGCTAAGCACCTTCCTTTGCCTTCATTGTTGAGCACTTGCAAAATCAAAATTCAGACATACTAGGGGGCCATCCAGAATACAGTTACGAAATTCCAAGAAATACACATCCATCCCATATATGTGTTTTTCAAATGATTGAACCTAAAGACAGGCTAATAGTGGGAAGTAAGAAGAATATGCTAAGACTACAAGTGATTTTACCCCAAAACATTAGATTAACTGACTTGTGATGAATGTAACATCAACCTGAGAATAGCCATTATGGGTCTGTCTCTGCCATTGCTTGTTAGTGGTATATTACTCTGCACTGTATGTCTTTCACTGATGGTTGTACAGCATGATTATGTGTCTTTTTTAACTGTTTAAGCCAGCTCCACTTTCCTCTGAGACACAAGGGCCTTCTGCTACTTCTCATCTTCCTCCTAGTCTTCCATTCCACTCTGCCAAGACACCTTTCTCTCTGTCTGTTTCCACATCTTCTCAGTCTGCTGTTCCCCACTCACCTCCTCTTCTTTCCAAACTTTCCTATCAAAAGGAGATAAACTCACCAAAATTAAAGGTAACTTGCGCTTCTTAAGTGTCAATTGCTGCATGTCTCCATGTATGTTTGACAAATAGAAGGATGGATGCTGAGATTGAGCTTTTTTAATTTTTAAATATAATTTCTCAGATACTAATATTTCATAATATAAGCATGTAGTTAGCTCAAATGTCATAAGCAGGGTAGTGCTTTTTCAGATGCAGTAACATCAACTAAGAAAAAATATCATGAAAGGACTTGATAGTTCAGGGAAGGATGTGGGAGTTTTTAATCTTTAGATCAAGTCTCTCAATCCACACTAGTTTTATCTAGCTCTCATTGAATTCAATCAGTGATTTCTGATCACTGCAATAGAAGATGAATCATGCTCTAGGTTATTAGATAACTGAAAAGTTTCCAGATGTTGCATATTCGCATCATGGCACTATTTCAAAATAGCACTATTTTGAAATAACAGCCGCTGTTAAGACACAGTTATTTCGAGAGAAAACCCTTCTCTCGAAATAATCCTTATTCTTCATACAATGAGGTTTACCAGTTATTTTGAGAGAAGGGTTTTCTCTTGAAATAACTGTGTCTTAACAGTGGCTGTTATTTTGAAATAGCGCTATTTCAAAATAGCACCATAGCACAAATATGCAAATGAAGCACAGGCTGTTTAAGTCCCGGCTTCATTTGCAATCTTGAATGTTTTCATTTGCATCCCTCTCTCAAAAGAGGGTGCAAGTGTAGACATACCTTGATAGTTTTGATCAGCCCTCTGTACCTGTTCTGGAGACACCACTTTGTGCCCCTGATAAGCAGGCAAAGATTGAGCACAGCAATGGGCAGGTGAACTAACATCCCAGAAACTTGTAGTAAGTCAAAAATATAATGCTTAACATTATACTGATCCATTTGGTTCTCATAAACACCCTATTTCTAGTCTGTGAATTAGATTTCAGAAGAAGGGGTCTTTCCTATTCCCATTCCACTTGTGTATATCAGTGAGTGACATGCTGAACACTGAATGGTTATTGTATTAAGAAGCTACGTGTTTAACTCTCAACAGCTAATTACAACAAACAAAACTAAAATACATAAGGTGAGGGAAAGTTGCTCAGATTTGGAGCAACTTTGTTTTACAAGATAAAGGGAATACTAGAGGATTCATATCCTATTAATGTCTGTCAGACAAAAGGTTGAATCACAGATGTTTGTAGAAGCTTGTCAATATCCTTATATGAAAATAAGATTGGTGGAGTACAAAAAAAATATTTTAAAGGAGCTACAGATTTTGCCATCAT